CATCTATGTAGGAGGGCGGCCACCTCTAGGCGATAATACTTATCCATTCGTAAGATGATGAAGACTTCCCAAACTCGATTGCCGTAGAAGGGTCCGTGTTTCAACGAGGTCTTATAAAACACCTCAGACAACCAGGCAAACTCTACGTGTACCCGTTCCAAAGAGTCGGTCACTTTTAAGATGTGGTAAATCCCCTCAAGCCAATCAGCCACGAATTCCCGTACCCAGACCTTTGTTCGTAGGCAAGGTGGCCCGAGTTCCTTCCATCCTCCCATCACGACCCTACTACTGACCTCATCCCATGGTGCAAAATAAGTGTCACCCCTTTTCAGAAAGAATGATCATTCGAACTGATTCCACTTTTCCTTCCGCTATCTCGTCCCATCCTTCCTCTTCCCTTATTGGGTTCCAGATCCGTTCTATCCAAATGTATGATAGTTCCGGGACAACTTCAAATCCAATCCAATCACACGTGGTCCCTCTCCATTCGTTTTCTGCCGGTATAGGCATCTTTACCCCCTCTCTGAGTCGTTGGCTCCCATCCTTTGAAAGTGCATTCCATCAATAGCCGCTTTGTAGCCATCATCCCTTCCTGCACAACGTCGGCCACTCATTTCCCTCAAATAAATCCCTCCTCTCATAAATCTCAGTCCTGGTCGCCGAGGTCATCCTCTTCGTCGTAGAACAATTCCCTCACCCCCAGGAAGGTCTCCCCCACTGCCACATTTCTGTAAACTATCCCCCAATGTACCGGGCTAGGGACATAAACATTGTCTACGCTAAGGCAGTTTAACATCTCCGCTAGTTCCCTTGCCCAATTCCCCCCAAAGGGCCCCAATTCTACCTGACACACTGATACAACCCATTCTGTTGCTTTGCGGCTACGCTTGATGCCACTTTTTCCATATCAACCTGTTAACCGCTATGGTGGCGATCTTGCCCTTTAACAACCAGTTCCTCGGGAATGTTTGTCTTTTGTTTTGGTCTCTGCATCTTCGATGAGGACATTTTCCGCCATCTGGCCCGAATTTCAATCTCCACCATGCTTATAAAAAAAGTTTACATTTCCTCCCTTGACACCTCTGCTCCTTCAATTATCTGTGTGCATCTGTGTTTCCATATGACCCAAAGAGCCAATTTTCTGAGTTGATTAAACCAAACTTCCTTACTGCCTTTGAGCTTCCTGGGAGTGTTAGAGAGTAGGACAGTCGGAGGGGAAGTGTTTGGGAGTGGCGCTGAAAAGAGGATGGACCATAGTTGCCAAACTTTGTCCCAGATCCAGTTCGCTTCAGGACAGTAGAGGAGGCAGTGGGGGATATCTTCTGGTGCGTTGTTCCACAAAACGCAAAGTTTTGAGTTGTCTGAGTCTGAGTGTTTCCTTCTTTTGTGGAGCCATTGATTGATCGGGAAGGCTGCGTGTGATAGGAGTCGTTGCATGCTGCAGATTCTAATAGACCTGAAAAGAAGGTATTTGGTCCAGGGAATGGTGAACGGGATCGAGGAGACTAGGTTCATGATGTTTTGCCATTTCTCTTTTAGCTCGGGTTTCGGGTTTGTCGTTTGCAACCCGAGGTCATAGCCGAATTTCACGTCGTATTCGAAAATTGTTCTTGATTTCCTGTTGGAGCCTTTCCACATCCATTCCTTAGGGTTAAATTCCAAATCATCAATGTTAAGTTCTGGTTGGAATATGACCCATGGTCTGTTCTGCGTGACCTTCTTGAGACGTAAAGTTTCTACTCGCTCTGTTTGAGGGATATCGTCCTAGATTTCCAGTTCTTGAAGATTGTGTTTGGAGATGGGATAAGATAATTGGCTGGATTGGCAGCTGAAGGAATCTGATCTAGAAATGAAACGATACGTCAATCTGAGAGATTAGTAGGCCCCATTCACCTGGCTTTCACGTAAATCTTTCTCTTAGGAGAGCTATCCATAGAGTGGGGATGCTCTGTTGTATCGCTGCTATATTGGTTTCCAATAAGTGGCACCCCCTAAGGGAGGTTCGGAGCGCTTAGTCCGTCAGCTAGTCATCTCGATTTATGCACCATAGATGTTTGATCTGCCACACTCCTCTCTCTAACCAGGTCAACCATCTGCGGTCTTTCGTGCGAAGCGTCCAAATATTACCTTTTGCGTCCTTTAACCATGGATTGCTGAAGAGAGGTTGCCTGAGGACTTCCTCTTTGTTGTTCGGCGCGCCATGTTTATTGGGCATCAATCAACTCCAAGCCTTCAGGGTCGACAACCAGTAAAGGTTAGGCGAGGAGGTAGGCTAACTGGTTATCTCATGTTGCACTCTCCTTGCTGTCCTCCCTATTTTGATTGACCATTCTTTGGCCATGATCCAAAAGAGGACCCGCATGTTACGTGGAGAATTTACTGGTGCCAAGTTTCTTATGCTGTCTAGGGCCATTTTTGTCCAAGGGAGAAATTGTTTGGTTAGGATCTTGATAACCCATTTCATCTGAAGGGCGATTGCTTCCTGTTTCGGGTCTATAATGCCCATACCTCCTCCTTGCAGTTTCCTGGTAACTACTTACCATCCAACCTTGTTGATGCACATGGTCCTGTTAGGGTTCCCAGCCCACATGAAGCATCTTATCCTAGCCTTGAAAGTCTTGAGGTCGTCGTCAAGGGGGGACCAGATGGATGCCATGTACCGCAGGGTAGAGAATATTGTCGTGTTTATGATTAATGCTCTGCCGAACAAAGATGCCTGGACTTTCTTACATGGGGCTACGCGAGCTATTGCCTTCACAATTAGATTCTAACCCATCCCTGGCCATGTGCTTTCCTTATTGATTATGATTCCCAAGTACCGGAGTGCTTGGTCGCCCATGGACCATGACATGGGGGTGGATGGATCCGGCGGTTGAGGGGGAGTGCCATCTGCTAACCACCAGCCTTCAGTTTTAAGCCAGTTCACCTTCATTTTTTATGCGAGTCGGAAGGCCTCCATGACTCTGACGAGGGCTTGGAAAAAGGAGTTATTTGCCCTAATGAGGACCATGAGATTGTCAACGAACATCAACGCAGTGGGAAAGAAAAATCATGTAGGGGGTTGTAATTCTGTTATCTAAGGCGATCTATGGAGGGGTCCTTCCGGAGGAACGATACTATGGCTTCCATGACGAAAAGGAAGTGGGTCACCTTGGCATACGGACGTCCATATCGGGTTGGAGTCAGATAGTATTCTGTTAATCTGGACTCTTCCAATGACATCTCCATAAAGAATTCTGACCCATTCCTTGAAATTCGGCCCAACTCCCATCTTCTCCATGCAGTTGTGGAGGAAGTCCGAATTGACTTTATCATAGGCTTTTTCAACGTCAAAGAACAGGATAGCAGCCTGCATTCGTTCTTCCATGAATTTCTTTGGTGCCTCGTTTAAGGTCCCCGGGATGAACCCTGCTTGATTGATGTGGAAGCATTTATCAGTGAGTTTTATGATCCAGTGGGCTAATGTTTTCGCAAGGATTTTATAGAGGGTTGTGAGGAGTGTGATCAGTTTGTAATTCCTTAGGTCCCCTCTCTATCCCCTTTCTTGTGGAGTAGGGATACCACGCTGGTGCTAAGGACTCGGCCCAGACCACCCTTTGTCTTGCTGTCATTAATAAAATTGAGGAGGTCGCTCCCCAATGTCGGCCAAAAATGGATCCAAAACTCTTTAGAGAGACCATCGATCCCTGGAGCTTTGTCGTTCCCCAACTGGGATAATGCTATGTGGAGCTCCCCTGGGGTGATTGGTTCATCTAGGGCTACCGTTTGTTCCAGCGTTATCGTCCTCGCCAGGTAAGACTACATATGTTGACGAGCTTTTAGGTTCGTAGTGAAGGGGGGGGAAGGTGTCTTGGACTCGTAGAGGTCAAGTAGAAGGACCTGGCTATCCTTACCAAGTCTGTGCCCGCTGATTTCACTGACCCTTGGTCTGATGGGTCCTTCAGTCTTTTGATCATACTGTTTCTAGCGTTTGACTTAATCTTAGAGAAGAATAACTTGGTCATAGACTCATTAAAGGGTGTAAACAGTCATCCTTTCTATTTTTTTGCAAACACATTTTTCTCATTCCTTTCAGCTTCTTCATGCCTTCCCTTTGTCAAGCTCCTCCTTTGCCTGTGGTGTTTCCTTGGTCCTTGCTATCCCCAGATATAGGGGCAGCTGATGCTGAAGGTTACCGTCTTTCCCGAACACAACACACTCTGACAACAAATGTATACACACTATCTTTCCAGTCCAGTGGAGCCAAAATGAGGGTGATCGAGTTCGGTGGAAGACAGCAGCCCAGGGTGTTGGAAAGAAGACGATCGACGTTCCTTGGGAGAATTCAATAGCAGCACATCATGCGCTGGATGAATTGTACACCTAAACAGCTTGTACACTGTTCTTTACTCCGTTCTGCCTTTCTTCCCATCTTTCTCTCTCCCTTTTCTTTCTTTCTCACGTTTGCTTTCTGTCACTTTCTCCTACCTTCCTCCTTCCTCTCTTCTTTATCTTCTTAATTCCCTTCACAATGGCCCCCTCTTCCTCTTCTTCGTTTTCTAGCTGCAATCTACCTTCCTCCTCCCTTTCTCATTCCTCTTCTTCGTTTTCTAGCTGCAATCTACCTTCCTCCTCCCTTTCTCATGTTGGTCCCTTAACCATCTGCTTATCCTCCCTCTGCACTTCGTCGTCATGGTAGAGTATGAAAGGACTCGTGCTAAATCTTGGTTCTCTAGCAGCACGTCTGAGTGCTCTATAGAGTCTATGCCCGGGTCACCTTCGTTGCCAGGGTGGCCAGATTTACACAGAGGATATTACCATCCATATTACTTTACCCTAGTCATTGCATTACAGAGTATCCTCCTCATGATTTTTTCTTTTTTCTTTTAATATAAAGGAGGGTACTCAGGATATTACCATCAGGATTATTTTGCTCTCGTCATTGCATTGCAGAGTGTCCTCAACATATAGTATGGATGAGTGTTTTTCAGAGTGTATCAGCCTGTTGTCATCCTGTTTTTTTTAGTATAGTTAATTCATTGTCACCACCTCCCTATAGTTGTGTCAGGATTGAGTAATTTACGTGCCTGGTGTCTGCGTTAGATTTACAGTGTTCACAAAACAGTGGGGAGGACAGGTGTGAGCATGGAGAGGTGGATGGATGAGGTAGGGGACCAGGAAAGGAAGCAGAGCCAAAAACAAATGCGGGATGGAAAGAAAGTTTTTCTTACACAATTGGCTGGCCTTCCATAATAGATCCCAGATCAAGCTGGGACTTGCATGGAAAAGCCAGAAACCAGAAGGTTTCATTCTATAAATGGAAAACAATGACAAATCGAGGGAGGAACGACTGTCCTCACAAATTCCATAATGCCCCTTATTGAACTGTTCACACCTACATTTACAGCAATCCCCATTCCTCTCAAGAGAATCTGAAATCCTTGCGTACAATGTCTCACGACGACGAGGCCTCGCATAATACGTTGGTCAGATGAATGCACCCGCTGAGATAGTGCTGCTTGATATATGAAAGCTCCTCATCCTTCAGATGGCAGCAGCAGGATGGACGCGGGTTTGGGGAGCGGTGGACGGTCAGATGAGTGCACCCACCGGGAGAGTACTGAAACTTGATGAATGAAAGCTCCTCCTCCTTCAGATGGCAGCAGCAGGATGGACGCAGGTTTGGGGAGTGGAGGCTGGTCAGACAAGTGCACCCACTGAGAGAGTACTGCTGCTTGATGCATGAACGCTCCTCTTCCTTAAGATGGCAGCCGCAGGATGGGGATGGGGATTAGCGGAGCGAGGAATCTATTGTCTGCAGCATGGACTTAATTGTCTGCCACCACGCCCCTCAATTTGACATGAAATGGCAAGATAGACACTCTTGACGCTTTTTCCAAAGGGTGGGGCTAGTGACTCCTGCCGTGTTTGGCTTGGATGACGATGGTGATGACGACCTCGCTCTGCTTTCCCCACGGATGTGGCCTTCGGTGTCTGATAGGCGGAGCGCGTGCGGCAGGTATTCAGAGTCACCGAGGCCCAAAAGGCACCTGAGATTGTAAAGGAAACGGTATCCGCTAGTGGCACTGACTAAACAGTGACATCGATTGATCAGCGATTGATCATCAAGTGATCGTTCACCGAGGGAGAAAAGAATAAACCTCAACATACAGGGTGTCAAATAGATGATACGGATAACAAATGCTTGATGTAGGAAAGGGGAGCACGGCACGACCAATAAAAACAGTCAAATGTGGGAAACGTTAAACCCTACCACACCCTGATTGCACTTTGAGACAGAAGTGGTTTCATCTTCTCTCCGCCATGGCCGACCAACGGTTGGTAAATGAATGAATACAGCTCTGCTGCCAAGCAAACACATAGGTGCTCATTATTGTAGGAGAGCGAGGCCCAACAGCCATAAAACTAATCACGGGCGGAGTAAATTAAAGTCTCTTAGGAGCGATGTTCATAATCACGGTAGGAGAGAGGCACACAGTTTGGTACATGGCTTCCGTAATATCCTTCCTGGTTCACGTGCGGCTCAGGCACTTGGCTGAGAAGGAAGCAAGGACGTAAGTGCAGCAGATGACGACGGCCACGATGACGACAGGGGTCCAGATGGTACCGGCGGAGCTCTAGCTGGGACTGGCACCGTTATCTCCTTCTTATGCCTGCAACACAGACAATCACCATTCCATGAAACAAGACAGACATCATTTGGAAGAACCGTGAGCTCCGAGTTCCAAAAGTCTCCCTTACTGTCAGGTCACAGTTAAACCACCAGTACTTCGGAGCCTCTTTTTCCCGGGGCCAATTTCAGCTGCGCGCCAAGTTCTGCTCAACCAGCATGCATGAGAAATCCTTTTGTTTTGGGTTGCATGAACCACCGTTTGAACACTGCAGGCCAAGCCAGGAAAGTCGGGGCGCACTAACGGCCCCGTCGGAGAAGTTTGGCTGGGAGGCGTACTGGTGGTATAAGGAATTAGACATGCCCTTCTCTTTACCTAAATTCCATTGCTTGGTGACATTCACGCATGAACTTTCTCTTCATGAAAAATCCGACCTTCCACTCAATTCAACACCATCAGATTACTAAAACACACCACACTCTCAAAATGGCTGGCGGCACCAGCCAAGCCAAAAGAAGGACGCCGTCAGCTTGTATTCTTTTGGTGTGCAGGGCATTTCCAGAGTCGGAAAATGTTGGCCAAAGGTACTGGTGGTTTAAGAAGACTGAGGCCACGCAGTAGGATTTCATAGACTGAATGGGGCTGTAATGGCAGGCAAATGACCCCGCAAAGTCCTACTGTGTCTGTATAATGTCCAGCATGCCTTGCTGCACTTCTTCCCTTGAGAGGCCTTAGGGATCCGATATTGACAAAATATACATTACATGGCACGTCCAAGACAAGTTCCCGTGAAAGACAGTCTTAAAAAGGTGAGTATGCACCATCAAGAATCGGCAAAGACAGCACTTGGAAAACCCCGCAGTACCCCACTTGGGTTTCTGCTGTCGCCATGTTACCGTTGAAAGCATAGCTAGGCAAGCCTACTGGTGGTCCAAACAACACGTTCTTAAACTGCAACGTGTAACTACAGAGTCTAGTACAGACACTACATCCGTGCAAAAGAGAGGGACAAGAACTGCAAAGCTTTTGCTCCATGGTCCTTGCGTACGATTTCAATTCGAGGATCTACCCGCAGAAGAGGAAACTGGGACAAAGAAACTTTGGGCAACTAATGCCCCAGATTCGGGGTGTCCCTATAGTAGCGCCCGGGGGGGAAGTGTCTATGACCCCTCCGCAGACGCGGGTTGGTGTAGGTCTAGGTCTAGATAGAGATGTCTGGGTCGCACCACTGTAGGGCTCGACTTGCCATAAGATTCAGATATAACAGGTCACAAATGACACCCCCTGGAGGAAGACAGTCCTTGGGGAGTCACAAGCCATCCGATCCCCTCACCGGTTGAGTACGACGACAAAGGAACTTTGGGCAACTAATGCCAGTTGTTTGAACTTGTTTCTTTGACATCAGTATACCACAACCACATCCCTACACATCTGAGAGGCTTGTGAGGGGAACAACAATGAAAAGTGAAAAGAGGTCACTGCACCCATAGAAACATATGAACTCTTGTTTGGAGGACTGCGGCCGCGTGGTGGGGTGGGGGGGGGAGGAAGGGGCTTGAAATGGATGGGTTGCTTGTGGCAGTCATCTTCGGATTTCATGGAGATTTAATTAGATTGCCCATCCCACCCCACGACCCTCCTCCTATGTCCCATGGCCATCTACAGGTGACTTTACGGGACCCTGCACTCCTTCCTAGGGGGACTGCCCTGTTATCGTTTCCGAGAACAGAGGCCATACGCACAGGTTGTGCTCCCATTTGTTCCAATCTCATGACTCCGAGGTTGTGCTCCCATTTGTTCCAATCTCACCTCAGGTAGAATACGGCAAAAACAAAAAGGAAAATAAAGATACAGCACCTAATGCAAGGGGATACAAGCATGTTCGTTAGTAATATAGGTTATCACTCCCAAACTCTATTCCACCAAGGACTCACAGGAAACTAGCTCTGTCCGCATGGGCACATCAACAGCTGGTCTCCTTCTCGCTCTCCTTCCCCTTTTCCTCCTTTTCTCTCTTCCCTCCTCTCCCCCTTCCTTTTTCTGGAAAGATCCCGAAACAAATCTCCGTTTTCTTTTTTTTTCAATTAACAAAAAAGCCCCATCTATTCTGGGGGCAGAGGTCTGGTTGCTTATCACAGGCTCAGGTTTGATACAAAACAGTGAGAGAAGAAGACGACCAGCAAAGCACAGCCTCTTCCCCTGCAGCCAGCAAGTCACACACGTTTTTCATGGCTACATTTGTTCAGCGTTCAAAACTCGTCAATCTGACAATTTCACAACTACCTCCGATTTTAAAGGGCACACAAGTATTCACCTGCCCTTCTGACGACGCATTTCCCTTATCACGCCAGCTTGAAACCTGCACAATGTCACCCACAACCAGAATCGGACAGTTGTTCATCAGTACAAACCAGCTTGAAATCCATGATGCCGCATTTCAGCATGGGACATACAGCAAGTTATATACCAAGTCTCAGATTGAATTGAATACAGCGACAAGCTTAAGATATCAAATTCTGCAAATAACTTCAAAGGCGAAAGGTAAACTTATCAGTCAACTGCATTTAGACCTACATCTAGTAATTCACCCCTCACTGCCAAGCGGTAAAAATACACCGCCTTCACTTCTTCCGTGACACAGCAGATAGGAGATTCTCCCCCAGTCAAGGACTCGAGGATCAGTCAGTCTCCTACTTCTAGCACCTATAGAGTGAGTCAGTCTCCTACTTCTAGCACCTATAGAGTGTTTGGTCAGTCTTCTTTGAGTAGGATACCTGGCCTATCTTAAATCGCCACTACCTCCAACGTTCTTTTTGCCGAGGCAGATAACCCCTGACACCAAGCTTCATTGAAATGCCAGTGCGGTGTTTTTGCGTTTTTCTTTCCCCTTTGGCTGGTTCCCCCTGCACACCAAGCTTCATTGAAACACCAGTATGGTGTTTTTGTTTTTGTTTTCCACCTTCGGCTGGTGCCATCAGCCATATCGGTTCGGTAGCGCTGGTCATCTGAAGTCTGCAGAATGTTGCATTTGTGATTGTCGACCTTGCCTGGGAAAGGTAGTGGTGGTTTAAGATCAATGCGTATGACTTGAACGAGATGCCTAGAACGAGGACAACATGGGCAAAAGAGTCCACAAAGAAACTACCGCAGGGCACACACTGACACAAGGTAGACACTTGCGAGGGGAGAAGACAAAAGAACATCCTGAGCACTACAATGAACAGCAGACATGAACATCACAATGAAAAATATGCACAACAAAATTTACATGTACAGGGAGAAGGAGGGTGAGTGGGAGACCCACATCTAGAAACAAAAATATACGTACATGCAGATAGACACAGACAGGTAGCCAAAGGGAGCAAGACATGCACACACACACACACACACAGAGAGAGAGAGAGAGAGAGAGAGAGAGAGAGAGAGAGAGAGAGAGAGAGAGAGAGAGAGAGAGAGAG